GAAGGCTCCGGCAGCGCTGCTTGGAGAACAAGGGACGACGGCAACGTTTTCATCGGCCAGTACCGCGACAACGACCCGTCCCGTCACATCAGGTTCTGCCGGGTAGGATGCCACCAGCGACAATCGTCCGCTGGCGTTGCCGCGTCCCTCATCCACGACATCGACTGTGGTCCCGCCCAGCTCCTTCTGCAGAGGACCAAAACGCGCAGGATGACTTTGCAAGCTGAGCATGGGCAGATCCATCACGCTGCTCCAGCTTCTGGGCTCTGATGGTTGGGCTGGAGCTTGTGCTTGCTGCGGCAGGCTCCGCTGGATCCGTTCAGGATGCAGGGGTTCATGGACCCTATGTGGTACCCCAAACAGCAATACGGAATAAGTATCATGGGCCCATGTCTTGGGGCAGGCTTATGCGTGGATATGTCGAGGTGTACAGAGTTCCTCTTCACTTGCGGGGGCATGTCGCAGCTAGCCGTGGCGAACTTGTATCCACGGCATATTTCTACTGACTAGCTTTAGGGTTTTTGTTTTGGGGTCTAGGGCTTCAGGCACAACGCCCTGAGGCTAGAAGCTCAAACTCCAACTTGTTCCCCAAGGAATAGAGCCTCAAACCTTCGGCCGATATGCCCCTGAATCCCAAACCCTGACTCATAACCCAAAAGCCTTGGCAGAATCTCAATGAGACTCCATAAGCGCCATAAGCCTTTCCCTGACCTTGTGAACAGCACGCAGCACCAAATGAGATATCTTGTGGGCCCCATTTGGACTTGAAGTAAAGCCAAATGAACCCTAAACCCCAAACCCTAAACCTTAAATCCGAAAAAAACCTAAATCCTATAAACCCTAGAAGCCCTAGAAGCCCTACAAACCCTATAACCCCTAGAACCCCCGAACCACTCGGAGGTTCCTTCACTTTGTCTGGACGTCGCATCGCCTTGCGGGAGTGGCGGGCACTCCGCGAGTCGCGCAGATGGAGTCATAAGGACTCCTACAAAGGTAGGGGGAGGGCGGGTAGGGGGCCTTAATGCCCATAATAAGGACCTAATAAGGACCCCCTAAGGGTCCTCTTGATGGAGCGAAAGACCCCAGCGGCAGAGACGCCGCAATCCCCCAGCCGCGGACTCGTCCTGAACTGTACCCCAAACCACAAACGATAAACCCTAAACGATAAGCCCTAAACCCTAGACCCTGAACCTCGTGCACATGCAAAAAAGGGGTCCTTAACTAAAAGCCCTAGACCCTGCTTGGAGGATCATGGGACTTAGTAACTAAGGTTATAAGTACCCTAATTGGAGTTATAAGTATAGTTACCTTATTTATAACCCTAGTTACTAAGTCCCATGATCCTCCAAGTGTGGAATTTCTAGAATGAATTTTGAGGCGTTGAGTGGTTGTACAGGCAGCCGGGATCTCCTTCTTTGTCCTGCCAGGAGCGGTCCGCCTTCCTAGGGTTTCGGCTTTTGTCCTTAAAGGGATCTACAGGGTTCCTTAAAGGGCTCCTAAAAGGATCTACAGGGTTCCTTAATGGGATCCATAGGGTTTAGGTTTTGGGGCTGCGCCCCTAACGAGGAATCCCACCACGGACAGCTATGCATCGCAGGGGCGGCCCGAATCCGAAGCCTAAAACCCCTCACATGGGAGTTTCCGAAAATTAGGGGTTACCTTGTTTTGGGGTCCTTGTAATAAGGATCCTACTGTTTAGGGTACTATATTAGGGCCCCCTTCTTTCGGAAACTTCCACATCATGCAGCCTTGTGAGGCACTTTGAGTAGAACTTCCCCTAAACCCTAAACCCGCAAACCCTAAACCCTAAACCCCTAATCCCCAAACCCTAAACCCCTAAACCCCCAAACCCGAAACGGAGTAGAAGCAGTAGATCTGCCACAGCCTAACCCGGCAAAATGCGATCGGCGTTTGATTCACAAAGGGCTCTCAAAAAAAGGGTCAGAAACGCTTTGAGCAGACCCCTCCTGGACAGAAACATCAAGCACATCGTGGCTTTTGTAATTTTGAAATTTAGGGGTACCTCATTTAAGGGTCCTTATAATAAGGATCCTACTATTGAGGGTACCATATTACTGTCCCCTAGTTTCGGGGTTGAGGCTACAGACTTTGTGGTGCATAGGCTGGTAAGCTCGAGGGAAGGCTTGCAGCCGTTCCCTTGGTCTCAGCTTCCCCGGGCAGCGACGACATTTTCCAAGGGAGACCCTGGCATCATCCAAGATCTGCTCGACGAAACAGAGTGTCTGAGTGTTTGTGCGCGCGTTCAACAATATGCAGCATATGTATACACACGCTTGCATGCATCTAACGTTTTGCGTTCGTATGTATGTATGCATGTATGAATGTATGCATGTGTATGTGTATGTTTGCGACTATGTGTACGTGCATGTGGTGTGTGTTTTTAGGCACGGTGCGTACATGTATTCGCATACGTATACCTGTACAACGAACCGACCAAAGGCTTATGTGGCAATACATTCATACCAGCAGGTGTGTCATATGCACATAGTTGTATGTATGCTGTAATGCAATGCAATCCAAGGTGTGATGACATGCTTTTCATACAAGCAATGTAATGTCAAGAAATGTAATGCGGCGTATGCACCAATGCATCCCCCCTCCCCTCCCATCCACACACAAACGCAAACCGATGCTTTTCTGTCTCTTTGTACCCGTACATCTGTAATGTCATGTATATTCTTACTTGCACTCATGTTTCTAACACACGCATATGTATATCTGTACATACATGTGTATATATATATACATATATATATACAGATATAGATATAGATATGTTTGCATGTGTATATATATATATATATGTGTAAGCATGTATATTCACAGTGATATCTATGTTTATGTGTGTATATATATATATATATATATGCACATATGTATATACATATGTAGAGAGAGAGAGGAGAGAGAGAGAGAGAGAGAGAGAGAGAGAGAGAGAGAGAGAGAGAGAGAGAGAGAGAGAGAGAGAGAGAGAGGCAGAACAATGTGAATACAGGTACATGTATATGTATGTGTACACACCTAAAGGTATGTAGGGCTTGGAACCTCGAATTCAGATTTTGAAAGCACTCGTCCGCTCTCCGACGGAGCGAGTCTAAGAGCGAAGGGCCGCGAAAAGGTTTGGCCTTTTGGGCTACACGTAGGGAGTAGGACTTAGAGGTTTGGCACTTCCGAACTAGGCTTTTGCATTCAGGCCACTGCCTGGCTCACTCCCCCTCGAGCTCAGCTTTGAGCCCCCAGCCGAATATGTGGAAGCCGTGCATGTGTGTGCAGCCATCCTGGCTTGAAGCCGATCTTTAGACCCACGGTCCACATGGGGTCGACTACTTAGGGTTTACGCTGTTGGGTTTGGGCCTACCTGGCATGAAAGCTTTAAGGCCTGCTTGACTGAAGACCTTAAAGCACGCAGAGAAAGTCTGAAAAATCACCAGTCCTGGACAACTCGGTGTACCCGCGGCCAGCCTGGTTGCGAACCCCGGAGCTTAGCTCACCAGAGCACGCCCTTCACCAGAAGCCTTCAGCCATGTCTGCTACGGACCTGGCCGTTCGCCGGGTGCGTGCGCAGCTGGGGTCAGTAGAGGCGCAGCATCGGGGCCTTTGGAGCCTTGGTGGAGGTTGCTCGAGACTATCTGGGTTGTTGTTTAGGAATTAGCTTAAGGTACCATACTTGGGATCTATAGTCACTATAGTCAATCATATGTCTTTCCTTATCATGGTAACTTAGTTAATAACAAGAATCCAACAAGAATCCAGTTGCTCTGTCCCAGAAGCCTTAAACTCCCAAAATCCTTTCTGGGCCTGGGCGATTGAGTCGTGAAAGTGCTGTAAAGTCCATGCACAAATATCCCCGGTTCTCATGATCAAGGCCCGATCTTACAGAATGGTAGTATACTACTGCCAACAGCAGTATCGTTTTCAACAACCGCTGCGCAACTGCTGCCCTAAACCCTAAACCCTAAAGCCTAAACCCTAAACCCTAACATGGATAGCACGAATCATAGGAACACACCAGCCTTGAGTTATTGTACAGTAGCCAGAAAGTTGAAACATCATTCCCTATAGGGATCAAAATAGCCCAAAAGCCTTATATAGTATGGTCTTTGGGCTGAAAAGCCTTAATATATGAGTCCTTAGATCCCTAGGGATTCTCCTCATTCCCTTAAGGTAAAGTATAGGAGATCCCGGCACTAATCATCCTAAATCCATGTTCCAGCGATCTGGGGTTCACTTTTCTGGTACTGTGCAGCACCAGCAGGAGGAGGATGAGGACGACGACGAATATGAAGAATGCTTGCAGCAATGTTACGAATCAGCCTAACCGGATGGCAATCGATATGGGAATTCAGCTGTGTCTGAGGTAGTGGAAGTGGAAAGTGTGTCATGTTTGATGGAGTGCAGTGCAGCCATTCAGGGACATGTGCATGCCAATGCGCGAAGCAGGTTCATAAAGACCGTCATAAAAGAGTAGTCACTCAATTTGCAGCATCAAGTTTTTCTTCCTCACTGCAACGTTAGGCGCAGGAGGGAGAGAGAGAGAGAGAGAGAGAGAGAGAGAGAGAGAGAGAGAGAGAGAGAGAGAGAAAGAGAGAGCGAGAGAGCACCGAAGAAGACTAGCATGGCTTGAGCAGGACTCCTGCGCAGCTTTTGTGGACGATGCGTGCGTGAAACGACCCTTGACTTCGGAGAGACTTTGAAGAGGTTTCGGCTTCTGGCCATGGCTTCTGTTGCTTCTTGGGTGTGCGGGTGTGGGTATGGGCTTCAGGATTTGGGGATTGGGGTTTCGGGATTTCGGGTGTACGGTTTCAGATCTGATGTGCGTTTTAGGATGTACAGGGCTGCATGTCCAGAGTTTTGCGATGGCTTGCGAAAGGTCTTCGAGGACGATCGTGAACGATGGCCATGGTTAATACGACTGAGCTATGAACCTTACGTTGAAGTTGAGATGTGCCAGTCTTTGCCAGTCTCGGAAAGAGTCTAGC